TACGCTTTCTTGTTGCCTTTCGTTTTATGATGTTGTGATTAAAATTACTGTCTTGATTAGATTGTTTTCCGCGTCTAATTGTTCATCTGTACTGAATTTAGACATGTCAAAGTGCCCTTCAGCGGGTGGACCATCGGGAAGTCCTCATGGCCACGGTGCATATCCTACTTCAAGCCATGTGACCTTGTTTTCGAGTTCCTTGCCCACACTTGCTCATGAAAAGCGTATGGCCGAGCTTTTCCTCTTTTTTAATCATCCGTATAGTATTTGGTTGTTGTTTTTTTAACTCAGTTCTGATATATTTTTGTTCTATTGATAAACACGTGCAGTTAATTATACCGATTCCGACAGTTGGCTCTCCCTCGATGATAGCTCACCCAATCTGAACAAGCTAGCTTTAGGAAACTCGGAGAAGGATTCACTGGAAGATGTTGAACCTAACTCGTTGGAAATTCTGTTGCCCGAGGATGAAAATGAGCTCCTTCATGGTCTCATCGATGAGCTTAACTTCAATGGTTTGCCTGATGAACTGGAGGATCTGGAAGAGTGTGACGTTTTTTGCGCTGGAGGGGGGTTGGAATTGGATGTCGAACCTCGGCCCAATCATGTTGCTGATGTATCAGAGGTGCAGATATCTGACCGAGGTGTAATGGATTCCCTTATTCCTCTTAAGTTTCCCAATACATCTGGAAGAGTTTCGATAGAACATCCTTACGGTGAACATCCTTCAAGGACATTATTCGTGAGAAATATCAACAGCAATGTCGAGGAATCTGAGTTAAGGGCCCTCTTTGAGGTACTGTTACATTGGTTTGTTGCCCTTTTTCCCTTGTCAAGTGATTATTAGCATTATCAATTATCGTACACCATTCGCATCTTTGTATTGGTGGTACCTGCGCTTTTCTCCGGCTGACATGGGTTATATTTGTTGCCAGCCATTTGGAGAGATCAGAAGTTTATACACTGCATGCAAAAGCAGGGGCTTTCTGATGATATCCTACTACGATATTCGAGCTGCTCATACTGCAATGCGTGCGTTGCAGGGCACACTTTTGAGGAAAAGGACATTGGACATCCACTTTTCGATTCCCAAGGTATAAACTGTGAGAAGTGTCTTCGTCTGGGATTTAAAAGATCTGAGAAGTTGTCTTGTTCCGGGATTTAAAAGATCCTCCATTGTTAGTATCTTTGAAACATTGGTTGAATGCCGTATGACAGGAAAATCCATCAGAGAAGGATATGAATCAAGGAACTCTTGTAGTTTTCAATGTGGATTCATCAGTTTCGAATGATGAGCTCCGTCAGATTTTCAGTGCCTATGGAGAGGTTAAAGAGGTAATTAAGAATGCTGTTTTCAGGAAGTGAATTTTTTTGCTCCATTGGATCAACGTTATCTTTATGTTGTATATGATGACCGGCTAGAATTTCTTTCCAAACTATTTGATTTGAAGGATGAAATCATGATTTATTTAAATTGATGTGTGAATGCAGATTAGAGAAACCCCGCATAGGCAGTTCCATAGGTTCATCGAGTACTATGATGTTAGACATGCAGAGGCAGCTCTGAAAGCACTGAATAGAAGCGAGATTGGTGGGAAACGTATAAAACTCGAACTTAGCCGCCCTGGTGGATCACGTCGACCGTAAGTTTTGATATCATTCTCTGCCCTGGTGAAGTATCATGCATTATTTCGTATAAATTACCTTTTCTTTTTCAAAGTTCTTCTACTTGTTCATTAGCTTTTCAATAAACTGATTTTCATGCAAATACAGGGGTTTGGTTATAAATTATAAGACTAGGACCAAAATGGAAATTGAGCTTTCTCTATATGCTTCCGGGCTCTTATCTTTGCTTTGCTTTGCATGTTCCAAGTCCACAAATCTTAGTCTTTGTTTATGGCTTTACTGTCTACTTGGCTTCTGTTTGTCTGGTAATAGACAGACAGCCATTTTATGTTTTATTCAGGGAAACAAAACCCATTTTGTATTTGATCCATTCGATTTCCATGTCAATCAATGATTTATCAAACATAGCAAGTGATTCAAAAGTTTTTTGTCTGCAGCTCGGTTCCGATAGCTGGTCAAGATGCGGAAAGAAATGAATCTCACGGCTTCCTTAACCAACGGATTTCCAGTTCTCCTCCAGGTAATAATTATTTATGGCTTTTTCAGGGCTACTACTTGTCGGGAAACTCATTTCATCTGATTACAGGTGATTGGGCAACCATTGGCAGCCCGGGCACGAGCAAACCTTCACATCCTTTTCTGCAGTTGCATGGTCTGGAGATCGTCAGGCCAGGAAACACCGGTAACCTGCATGGGCTCGCCTCGACTCTCCCATCTTATTCAACTGGCTTTCCAAGATTTTCAGCCATTGGCAATAATGAGCAAGGAATACCCGATTCACATTCCTCTGTTTTCGGGACATCATATGATCACTGCTATCTATGGGGAAGTCCCCCACAATCTCTCAATCATTCTGGTTACTTCGGGTCGACATCATCTGCTGAACATCCTTTCAATAGTGGGCATGGTTTTCCATACTCTGGTAGAAAAGGTTCCCTGCTCGGTAAATACCGGCATCATGTGGGATCTGCTCCCTCGAGCATTCACCTCGGTGCTCAAATAAGCTACAATTGGGAATCACCAGGGACGTCCTCCCAGACTTCTCTTGGTTTCGGGGCCTCAGGTGTCAATAGACACTTTCTCACGAACTTGAATTCTCAAGCACAAGAAAGATCTAGTTTTGGTCATCTGGGAGGCCAACCCGAGCAGGAATTCCCGGGTTTTGGCATGTCGTCAATGCCTGAAGCTCGTTACGGTGGGAATCCAGGGTTAGGACCAATCCGGAGTGAGCGTAGGCTTGAGCATGAAAGGGTCCAACACGTTGAGAATTGTGCTCGAAATCAAATCATCGATGATAGATTGTATCATATTGACTTGGACAGAATCGCTACTGGAGATGATACCCGGACTACGTTAATGATTAAAAACATCCCAAACAAGTAAGTTGATGACACCAATCATAAGATCTTGCTGTTTTTTTTTTCCGGTTATGGGTCACACATTCAGGCAATGTTTAATCCTGTCAAATATTTAAAGATATACTTTCAAGATGCTGGCGGCTGAAATTGATGAAAAGCACAAGGGGAACTATGACTTCCTGTACTTGCCTACTGATTTTAAGGTAATATATGAGTAGTAATCAGTGATACCGCATTGTGAGATCAAAAAGCTCGATAAAGATTTAGCTTTTTCTTGTTTACAGAATAAATGCAATATGGGTTACGCGTTGATCAACATGGTCTCTCCATTGCACATCGTTCCTTTCCACCAGGTTAATATACTTTGCTCTTCGCCATTTGTTGTTTTCTTCGGTTCTTGAACAAGTCTATCAATCAATCTATCTATCTATCAGTTGTGTAAATGCACTATTTTCAGTTTGTTGAGCCGTAAAAAAAAACACGACAACAGATTGAGGTTGTTGTACGCAGAGCTTCAACGAGAAAAGGTGGGAGAAGTTTGATAGTGGGAAAGTTGCTTCGTTGGCATACGCAAAGATCCAAGGCAAGGCTGCTCTTGTTTCGTACACGCAAAATTCAACTCCGGATAACGAAGAAAAACAAGGGCAAGAGCCTCATAATCAGGTACAGTATACATCTTTCTTATTACCCCAATCCACCCTAATTTTACGAAACTTAATAGTTAAAGGGCATCCCGCTGCACAAAGCATCCCATTGAGCGGGGTCTAGGGAAGGATCCCACCACAAGATTGTATTGTAGGCTAAAACCTTACCTTGTAGAATATTCTTCAAGAGGCTGCTTTCAGTACTCGAATCCGTGACCTCTAGGTCCCAATGGCAACACCTTATTAACCGGTGCGCCGAGGCTCCCCTTCACCAAACTTAATAGTTAAACCGAAAAAATTTGTAAAACATTTCAAATGCATGATGAGCATGTGCTCTATTGAAATTTCTTTTTCTGCAGGGGAATCTTCCGTCAACCAGTTCGAACCGTTGCTGCTTTTAATCCAGACCGGTCATAAAGACACCGGATCTTTTGGAGAAGCAGAAGGGTAAAAACTAATGAATTTAGTTCTCCCAAGTCGGAAAAGGTAAATTAAGTGTACAAATTTCAAAGGAGGATAGAAGAATCTGATGGCTGCTGCTTAAGCTTTTTGTCTTCAGAGGGCAGTATCCGTTTTTTTTTGGAGGGATACATCACCATTACCGTCCATGGAAGCTACAAAACTGTTTCTGATATTTCACAAACACTTTAGTCTTGGAATCTCTCCTTATCAGTTTCAGTAAATATCAACTCTTGGTCTTGCCTGTACATATGTGATAAGTCGAGCTCCATATCTATTTGTCCATTTTCCATGGAAGTCGTGTGCGTATTTCTCTCTTGATGCAGACATTGATTGATCCTTCCATGCAGCAGCTGCAGCTGCAGCTGAGCATGTCTCCACAAAAGGGCTTTGACATCATCATCATCATCATCATCAAGAACACGACAGGATCCAACCACTTAGAACCCACTTGCAGTTGTCTCCGTAGAACATGCTCTCACACTCGTGGCAATGTGCCCTCTGCTGACAGAGAGCTGATCCTCAGCAAAGTATTTCCTTTCCATATAGAGAGACTTTACAGGAATGGTGAATTTGAAATTAATGGAAAAATGTGAATATGTGATTTAAACCGGCTTTGGTACGAGACATAACTCGGTCCAACAAGGTAAAGCCCGGCCCAACTACAAAAGTAATATGGGCTTGGCCCAAACTAGATCGGACCAAGTTCTATTTTAATTTTTTTTTATATTATCAAATTTGCCCTTTTCTTTTCTCCGTAGACTAATATTATAAACGGTGGGGTTGTGAGTTATGTTCCCTTCAAAAGTTAAAGCCCCTTTTTGTTCCGTCGGGATAGACTTCGAAGTTTTGTCGGCGTCATGGAGACGAGCTGCAGAGACGCTGTCGTGTCCGAACTGCAGAAGAAGAAAGTCCATCTCTTTTACTGCTTGGAATGTGAAGAACTCGCTCGCAGTATCGCCTCTCAATCCGATCTTATCACCCTCCAATCCATCAACTGGAGGTTTTCCCTCTCCTTTTTTTTTTTTTTTTTTTTTTTTTCCCTTTAATGGGTTTGTTTGTTAGCAACTTATCGATGGGTTTTTTTCACTTCAAGTTCATTCTTTTTCCTCGACTGTCCACGGGTTCTCAGATTTTTGCATGTGAAAGGAAATCAAACTAAAAAGTTTTGATTTGATGAGTGGTAGCAAAGCGGGATAGTTTGCATGTTGCCCATTTGAGCATCGTCGAATTAAGTGCTTGATCGATCAGAGGCTGGTGTGATCAGTACCGCTTGAGGGGTTTCTCTTTCTCTTTAGGAATGCTGTGAACTGTTGTTGTCTTCTTCATGTGAAACCCATCTTTAGTTCGGCTGCCTCAGGCCTGGAAACTGTTAATTAGTGTATCTATGATCCATAGCTTGGGTTAGGGATATGGAAGTTGATTAGGGTTTTGTTTTTGGTTCTGGCTTTTGATTTTCAGGAGCTTTGCTGATGGATTCCCAAACCTATATATAAACAATGCCCATGATATCAGAGGTCAGCACGTTGCCTTCCTCGCATCGTTCAGTTCTCCAGCTGTTATCTTCGAGCAGCTCTCAGTCATATACTTGCTCCCCCGCCTGTTTGTCGCGTCCTTCACGTTGGTATTGCCTTTCTTTCCGACTGGCTCCTTTGAGCGACTTATCGATGGGTTTTTTTCACTTCAAGTTCATTCTTTTTCCTCGACTGTCCACGGGTTCTCAGATTTTTGCATGTGAAAGGAAATCAAACTAAAAAGTTTTGATTTGATGAGTGGTAGCAAAGCGGGATAGTTTGCATGTTGCCCATTTGAGCATCGTCGAATTAAGTGCTTGATCGATCAGAGGCTGGTGTGATCAGTACCGCTTGAGGGGTTTCTCTTTCTCTTTAGGAATGCTGTGAACTGTTGTTGTCTTCTTCATGTGAAACCCATCTTTAGTTCGGCTGCCTCAGGCCTGGAAACTGTTAATTAGTGTATCTATGATCCATAGCTTGGGTTAGGGATATGGAAGTTGATTAGGGTTTTGTTTTTGGTTCTGGCTTTTGATTTTCAGGAGCTTTGCTGATGGATTCCCAAACCTATATATAAACAATGCCCATGATATCAGAGGTCAGCACGTTGCCTTCCTCGCATCGTTCAGTTCTCCAGCTGTTATCTTCGAGCAGCTCTCAGTCATATACTTGCTCCCCCGCCTGTTTGTCGCGTCCTTCACGTTGGTATTGCCTTTCTTTCCGACTGGCTCCTTTGAGCGAATGGAAGAGGAAGGAGATGTTGCAACTGCTTTTACCATGGCCAGGATTCTCTCTAACATTCCCATCTCACGTGGTGGCCCGACTAGTTTAGTCATCTATGACATTCATGCTCTTCAGGTTTGTCTATTTCCTATATCACAGATTCATATCCAGTTTCAGTCTAGACCGCAGGGAAACCCGAGTATCCAAATAGTTTCCTATAATCTTGAATGATATTCCTTTTGATCATCCTGCTTGTTAAGTTCAAGTCTTTTATGGGTTTGTTTATATGTTCTCTGTGTGGCAGGAAAGGTTTTACTTTGGTGATCAGGTTCTTCCCCTGTTCGAGACTGGAATTCCGTTGTTGAAGAAACGCCTTCAACAGCTCCCTAAAGATGATAAGGTCAGTTCACATATCCGGTCACAGGTGACGACGCATATAATTCTTGCTCCTTTCTTCCATTTGTGGAAGACACTGGCGTTAACGCTAGTGTGGACATTGCTCATCCCGTTTTCCCTTTCTGTTTTTTTGTTGTTCTTATATCAGCGCTCTTGACAAGTTGCTTTTGTTTTTGTTTCCAGATAATGGTGGCATTTCCAGATGACGGGGCTTGGAAGCGCTTCCACAAGCTGTTGGATGAGTATCCCACGGTTTATAGTGATCTTGCTGCCTTTTCAACCTTCAGCTTTATCCAACTTTAGACCCTCACATGTATAATAATATCCTGTGGAACTCAATTTTGCAACATAGGTGGTTTGCACAAAGGTCCGGGAAGGCGATAAAAGAATAGTTAGGCTGAAGGAGGGAGACCCATCTGGTTGCCACGTTGTTATCGTTGATGATTTAGTGCAGTCTGGTGGCACCCTAATCGAATGCCAGGTAACGAGACAAATCTCTGAATTCTTATTCGGACAATGCGTTAGTACTCAGGCACTGTTATCTACAAACTCTTTTAAGCCCTTCAAGGCTGGATTTGGATACCGATGTAAAGGGAGGATAACGAGTCAAGAGTAATGACTTAGTTCTAAGTTAGGATCAATTTCCAGAGAATTCTTGACTTATCAAGTCTGCAGATGAATGAAGCTTTTTCCTTTGACGTTTATACGATTTGGTCGGGTGCCTGATTGGCGCCACTATCGTGGAAATGGCTGTTTTAACTTTGTTACTCTCTGTCATTTCAGAAAGTATTGGCAGCTCATGGGGCCTTGAAGGTGAGCGCTTATGTAACTCATGGTGTTTTCCCCAAGAGCTCGTGGGAAAGATTTGCCCACAAGAACAACGGTAATTCCCTCCCCTCTCAAATACTGTAGTTTCTACCTTTACCATTCTCTTGTGAATCAAAACCGACACGATAACTTGCGCGATTTTCACCAGGGTCGGAAAGCGAGAATGCTTTCACCTACTTCTGGATCACGGATTCATGTCCACACACGGTCAAGACCATAGGAAACAGGACTCCGTTTGAAGTCCTGAGTCTCTCGGGATCCATTGCTGATGCTCTGCAGATTTGATTTGAACTTAAGATAAGTCCAGATCTCTTCTGGGTTGTGTTGTGTTGTACTTTGGACATGCTCTAGGTAATGAGTTTATGAATAATCTTGTCGTCCCGACAAGATCAAGGAACCTCGTGTTCTGTTCTTGTTAATGGATCTTATTTTGCATTGAATAGAAATAGATTTCGTTTATTCCCTTTGCATGAAGCTACGCGACAAATCTGTTCTTTTTCACTATACCAATTAAGATAGATATAAAAAGGATAAGGCTTTTTCATCAATGTCGCACCAAAATATCGGAAAAATGGCGTCGACGAGCTTATGCTCCTCATCACCGATTTCTGTACCCAGATTCGTCTCTGACAACTCTTCTGTCCGAATGCTTGATACTGACTGCACCACGATGAGAGATCTCAAGCAAGTCCACGCGAATCTCATCAAGACCGGCTCGATAGCCGATACCGTCGCCGCTAGCAGAGTCCTGGCCTTCTGCGCGTCTCCTCACGTCGGAGACATGAACTACGCCTACTTGGTCTTCACCAGGATCTCTGACAAAAACCCATTTGTCTGGAACACTATCATCCGAGGTTTCTCACGGAGCTCGTCTCCCGAGAGAGCTATCTCCAAGTTCTTGGACATGTTGAGCTGTTCGACTGTGCAGCCGCAGAAGCTGACCTATCCTTCGGTTTTCAAGGCGTGTGCTAGTCTTGGGCATGCCCGGGATGGGAAGCAGTTGCACGGAAGGGTTATCAAAGAAGGCCTTGACACCGACCCGTTTATACGGAACACGATGCTGCATATGTACGCAAGTTGCGGGTATCTGGAGGAAGCGTGGAGGTTTTTTTTGGGAATGACGGAATTCGATGTTGTTGCTTGGAACTCCATGATCATGGGTCTTGCCAAACATGGGCGGATTGGCCAGTCCAAGAAACTGTTCGACGAAATGCCACAGAGAAACGGGGTTTCTTGGAATTCCATGATCAGCGGATACGTCAGGAATGGTAGATTTATGGCTGCGTTGGAGCTGTTCCGAGAGATGCAGGTGAAAGGTATTAAGCCCGACGAGTTTACAATGGTGAGTTTGTTGAACGCTTGCGCGTGTTTAGGGGCAAGCAAGCAAGGGAAGTGGATTCATGATTATCTGGTGAGGAATGGAATTGAACTGAACAGCATAGTAATTACTGCCCTTGTAGACATGTATTGCAAGAGTGGCTGTATCGAGGAAGGTTTTCAGGTGTTCAGGAATGCTCCTAACAAGCAATTATCATGCTGGAACTCGATGATTCTTGGCCTAGCTAATAACGGGTTCGAGGAAAAAGCTCTGGACTTGTTCATGGAGTTGGAGCATTCCGGGTTTCAGCCAGATTCTGTCAGCTTTGTCTGTGTTTTAACAGCCTGTGCTCACTCAGGGATGGTGCATAAAGCTGACGAGTTCCTCAGATTGATGAGGGAAAAATATAGGATTGAACCATCCATAAAGCACTATAGTTGTATGGTTGATTTGCTGGGTCGAGCAGGGCTCCTCGAAGAAGCAGAAGCGTTGATAGAAACCATGCCGGTGAGGTCAGACACTATTATATGGAGCTCTTTGCTCTCTGCTTGCAGGAAAAAAGGAAATGTTCAGATGGCTGAACGTGCTGCAAAATGCTTGAAGGAGCTCGATCCTGACGAAACTTGTGGTTATGTGCTTATGTCTAATGCGTATGCTTCTTTGGGCCTGTTTGGAGAGGCGATTGACCAGAGGCTTTTGATGAAGAAAAGACGAACGGAAAAGGAACCGGGGAGCAGCCTAATTGAAGTCGATTTTGAAGTTCACGAGTTTGTATGTTGCGGGAGAATGCATCTTAAATCACCAGAGATTTACGAAATACTGAACGTGTTGAATTGGGATGTGTCTGCATTAAAAACAGAAGTTAGTGTCTAGCTCAGCTTCCTGAACAGCTTTCTGCCATTAGTCTTGCTCGACATTGCGACTGCAAATGGTTTACAAGCAGCTTGTGCCAATGAAATGAGCAGGAAGAAGATCTTCAGACTTTAGCAGCCTGTGCATTTTGAGGGCATTCTCTTCTTTGCTGCTGCTGATCGTCTTTCCGGTATGGTAAGAAGATTTAAAAGTTTGCATTAGAATTTATGACAGGTCTGGTCCTCGGTCTTAACGTTTACGTTATTGCCAAATCATGCTTTACAAGGATCAATGTTAATGCTCAAAGTTGCTTTAATCTGTTCCGGGATAGGTTGCTTGTGCTTATGTTTCTTTTAATGAGGTCGGATAATAAACTCTGTTAGTATCACCTTAAACAACTTCCATAATGTTAAAGGTGCACACGTGTGATCTTTCCCATCTTTTCGGTTTTGTAGGTACAGGTACAGGTACAGTGAAGATGAGATGCGGTTCTACTAGACTCGAGGTTCTACCTACAGAAACATTGAACTCGATCCGAAGTAGTAAAAAAACAAGCTAAAGGGGACAAGCTGTGTGTGATAAAACAGGGTATTAGAGGGAGAACTAAGGTTTTGACATAGCTCGAGGAGGCGCCCAAGCGTAAACATCAGAAGGTCCATTTCCATTTGTGAGCAGATTCTGAGGCAGTCCATACATGTCATCCGAGGGGCGGGATCTGCTGTTCTGATAATAATGCTGATTCTGCATTGCAGCAGCAGCAGCAGCAGCTTCATCATCATTGTCCAGTGGAAGACGATCGAAAACAGCGTTCATAAAGGATGCAGCCATGAGGACAACAGGTCCAGAAGCGATAAGCCCACCGACCACTCCTCCCCCCACGACCTGTCCTTGAGGCCCGGCTAAGTAAATGGTCAGACCGGTGATGGGTGCTGGTGGAGGCAGGATGGATCCAAGCAAAGAAAGAATCTCAAAACGGCCGTGCAACGTCACAATGGCCCCCGAGGAAGCCGGCTGTCTAAGCGTGACATCCGTGACACAGCCATTGGCGCTGAGAATGCAGAGACCTCTCTGCTTCCTTCTTGCAAAGTCGGCTAATGTCTCACAGACATCACAGCCCGAACCGATCTCCATAGCGTGAGCTCTGAGAGCGTTTGGACTGTCGTGGGTCACGATGATAGGAGGCTTTGGCTTGTTCTTGGAGCCAGCAGGCCTTCCTCTCGGCCGCTTACCCATCTCTCCCTCGACGGCTGAAACCGGTTGGACCATCTTCGAGTTATTGGTCACTCTCTCGGGTTCCTGGCTTCTGACAGGAGCTGGCTTAGACCCAACAGAGGTCGGATTCAGGGCTGTTCCTCCAGCCATCCTGTGATATGATTCGAGAAGAAAAAAAGGATCTCGGAGAGTTTAAGTAATGAGATAAGAGGGAAATATAATATGGAGGGAGACCCAAAAGAATGACGGTGAAGAGTAGGAGAAGGTTAAGTGAGACCAAACTTGTGATTAACAGTTGAAGCCATTCTGCAATATAATTGGCTGCCTACTTCCCAACTGGATGATATACTTCTGATTCATGATAATTGTCTTCTTACCAAACTCCCCTAACCATATCTTATTGGATCATCATATGTAAGAGTGTGATTGGTATGTGTCTGTATGAGGTTTATGGTGGCTATGTATGTGCATATGTATATGTATATGCACAGTCATCACAACAATTTTTTTCTTCTTTTTTTTAATCTTTTTGTTAATATTATTTTCATGTTTTTTGGACTATTTTCTCCACAGATTAAAAGATAATAATGGCATTTATTTAATGTGTGAAAAAATATGGTTAGTAAATGATTATAACAAATAATGATGATGAATGTAGTTGTAAAGAATGTACTTTTGCTGTAAACAATGTGTAGTTTTATGGGTGAAAATTCCAAAGTTTAATTGGATATCTAAAAATGTTAAAATATATTCCTTTAATATATATTAGAAATGCTAAAACTAGGTTTATTTTCAATCAGAATATACATATACATATACATATACGTATACGTATACGTATACGTATACGTGTGTACTGGGATTACACGTGCGTTGCATCTGAAGGGCGGCAAACTCTGGCTTCGGGGTAAAATCCATCTCCCTTGTGCACAATTTTTCCTGATCTCGAGTCCTTTCCTTGCGTTTCCTTCGAAATGTTTGCTCATTATGCTCTCAGATCTTTACCCTCCGCGGAATTTGTTGCTGCTTGATCGCTTGAGCTCTGCTTCGTCTCCTCAATTCATGGGGTTTTCGTGATTCTCAGGTAAAAAAATCGAGATTTTTTTGGTTGTTTCTCAGTAACTGTTCATCGTCTTGCAAGCTTCTTCGCCCCAAAAGAATGTTTGCCGTTCTTCAAGTTGGCTTAATCCCAGAATTTTAGGAACATGGTGCCGAGGTTCTTTCGCTTTTGCGTTGCAGAAAGAGCGAGTTGAGGGCTGAGATGATAATTTAGCCATTGAATTGCTTGGGATTTGAGAAATGAGCACCAATCATGATCATCGGAAGAACAACGGGCATCGAGATGCTTTGCCGGGAAGTGATCTTTGGACTGATGGCCTTATCTGTGCTTTCGAGTACGTTCGAGGACACCGGAGGGTGTTTCAGTGGAAACCCGGAACGAGGATTCAGAACGCAGAACATGTCGGAAACGGACATCAACGAGGTCTAGGTTTCCCTGACAGGTTGTTCCAAAAGTATGTTTGTAACTAAACTGTCTATATACTGAATCTGCAGATGTTATATAGAGTTTCTGCTAACGTTGAAGGGTACATTTTGGCTATGATAGCAACCGAGAGGAAGGTCGGACAGGCGAATATGGGGTCGAAAGGAGTTATTGGAAACAGGTAGGATGGGAAAGGCTATCTGAACTTGTTCAGACAGTGCAAGTTGGCAGTGGTTGGGAAATGCATAATGTTGAACCCTCGGATGAGGAGGATGAAACTACTGTTGCTGAATTGGCGGCTCCTTATTGGGAACGCCCTGTGGGCCCAACCTGGTGGTGCCATGTTGATGCCCGTCATCGAGCTATAGCTTCGTGGTTGAGTAGCGCGCAATGGTTGCATCCGGCTATAAGCCTTGCTCTTCGGGACGAAAGCAAGCTCATAAGTGACCGGATGAAGCATCTTCTGTATGAGGTTCATGTTTGCCTTCCTCTTTCATGTCTGAAGATGATTGATCATGGCTATATGAACGAATGTCTAATTGTTATGCATTGATCTACAGGTTCCTGTCAGAGTTGCAGGCGGGCTGCTGTTTGAGCTGTTGGGACAATCAGCTGGTGATCCTTTCATCGAAGAAGATGATATCCCAGTTGTCTTAAGATCATGGCAGACACAGAATTTTCTAGTGACTGCATTGCATGTTAAAGGCTCTGCACCGAACATAAACGTGCTAGGTATTGTAGAGGTTCAGGTCTGTTCCTCCTTGAATGTATAAATGTTTCTTAGTTACTAATCCTTGAAAAGTTTAGCCATATTGAAGCTCTTTCCAAAGGGTACTTTTTTGGCTAGAGGTGACCGTCTGTTCTCTCAGGAAATGCTTATCGCGGGTGGAGCTCGGAGTCCACGAACAGTTCACGAGCTAATAGCACATCTAGCTTGTCGCCTTGCTCGCTGGGACGATAGGTTTATTGTCAACTTGATGTAGATTTCCATAACATATAAGCAATGGACTTGAGAAGTCTATGTCCAGTCTTGGAAGAGAAGTACTGTTCTAGAAGAGAACCATGATATATGGTCATACTCTCTAGGTCTGAAAGATGTAATCAGATGATAAGAGCTACTCGTAAATCTCTCTAGATTCATGTGGGAGATAAGATAGATACTTGCAAGATAAGTGAACCATGGGGTTATTCTTTATACTCTTAACAAAAAAAAAATTCTTTTCATTGCTCCTGAACTTGATACCTGAAACCTACTGCAGGTTATTCCGCAAATACATATTCGGTGCAGCTGATGAAGTTGAGCTGAAGTTTATGAACAGGTGGTACCTTACCTTCTGCTGAAATTTGAAATATCTTTCCTTCATCAGCCCTTGCCCCGGTATCTTATGGAGAAGCAAATTTTGCTTCTGCTTGCAATCAGGAGAATGCACGAGGATCTGCATCTCTTCACTATAATCTTGAACCAAGAAATCAGAAGGCTCTCAACGCAGGTAGACGGTAGATCTATCTTGTCTTATTCTGTAGTAGACAAGAATGGTGAATCTTGTTTTCCATTGTACTAGCTTTTCATTTCTTTGGCAAGTATCGATGATAACTCTAAATCACTTTAAGAAACCAGTCTTGATGTATCTTTAAGCTTGAAATCCGTACAGATTTAAGTGTCCGTTAGTGGATTAAACTCACAAATACCACATTTCGTTTGTACGTCTGGTGGAATGTAACTATTTCCCTTCCGTATAATCAGGTTATACGAGTGAAATGGTCGCTCCACGCAAGGGAAGAGATTGTGTTCGAGCTTCTTCAACAACTGAAAGGCAATACAACGAAAGACCTACTAGAAGGAATAAGGAAGAGCACCCGGGACATGATTGATGAACAGGAAGCAGTCCGAGGCCGCTTATTCACTATCCAAGATGTCATGCAGAGCACTGTCCGAGCATGGCTACAGGTATAGTTCAGATGATAACAACTGTTTTCGATATTCCACAGACCAGATCTTGATCTGAACTTCCGCTTGAAAAGGACCGGAGCCTCACCGTCACGCATAACCTTGGAATCTTTGGAGGTGTCGGACTCATTCTCACGATAGTAACCGGACTCTTTGGGATCAATGTGGATGGAATACCAGGAGCTGAAGAGTCTCCATATGCGTTTGCTCTGTTTTCGGGCATTCTTTTTTTGTCAGGGCTTGTCTTGATAGTGACCGCCCTTCTCTACCTCGGCCTGAAGGAACCGAAGACAGAAGTGAACGCTGAGATCAGGAGACTGGAACTGGACGAACTGGTTAGGATGTTTCAGCAAGAAGCAGAATCTCACGCCAAAGTCCGTAAAAACATTCCACAGAATATCGAACACACAGCTGCAAGAGGGATTCTCCAGGACGGAGGAGACGGATACGTTCTCATCGGTTGAAGGAAAGGGATGGATCAATGTATGGAAACCTCGAGTCCAAGATGCAGATGAGTTTTAGTCTGTCCCAGGCTTGGGTCAGTAGTGGTCGCTTCCGATTCGATTTGAATACCTTGGAGGTTGGTTGGTTGGTATATTTCTCTTTTTTTATATAATTAATGGCCTAAAAATCATAAACTTTTTTAAAAGTTGTCACATAAATAAAAGAACTTTGAAACTTCTACCAAATATATATACTATCTTTGCAAATATTACCATAAAGTCACATTGCTACAACATGTTTGCAAAATCTATGTAGGCTTATAAAAATATTTACAAAGTCTATGTATTTTTGTAGAAGTTTCAATATTAATGTAATCTTTTTTTTTTTAACCTTGTATCAAACGATGAAACTCCTTATTCAATTTCCATTGTAAATTTGGGCCCTTTCTTCTTATAATGACAGGTTTCCGAAGGTTTATACAAAGATAACAACCCAAGAATATTCATTTATTGGACCGTAAGTTTAGTTTCTTGGTCTAGCTTTTTTTTTCCAGTTCTATTCTATGTCTATGTCTTGGTTTGTAGAAGTTGGATTATCTAATGAACCAAAATAGAGGGATTCATACAAAGACACGGGTTGCTACAATCATTGTTGCCCGGGCTTGGTGCAGCTATTCGGGCCATATCGACCTATGGCGGTTCCCAATACAACATTCCATTTCTTATTACCAAGGTAAACACCACTACTTAGATCCAAACAATGTTTTGTATGGCTAAAAAAACCGTCCTTTCGATTTTAGAATCCAAAAAGAAAAAAAAAAGGAACTGGTGGTTAGGGTACGGGAAAACCATGCTCGGATACGGGCCCAGTTCTATAGTCCCATATCTAGACAACAATGCAACGGATATTGCCTGGGGAGGTGAAATAGTGAACTTGAACGCAAAAAATAGCGTGATTTTTTTTATTACAAGTCTTGGATAAGAATCTACAACGCACTAGAACGCCCTTTCATGGGAGAAAATTGAGTTATTTGGGCCCTGGAGGAAATGGAATCCTAGAATGACACCTTTAAGGTTTAGGGTTTAGGGTTTAGGGCCTACTACAGAGATGCGGACTGGGGAGTGGACACTTTCCCGACGAAGAGTATCAAAAGACGAGTTTTTTCGGGGCTTAGGCACAGTCGATACGTCGAATGTTTTGACAGATCCGAAAAAACTTATACTTATAGTCGTCGTCGTTACTCGACCAAACTGTTATAACGTGAAGATGATGTCAGATAATGACTAGAGAACTTACCTTTACTATGGAGGTCCTGGTCAAAACCCTAGGTGTCCTTGAGACAAAATTGTGTTAGAAGCATTAAGGTTGTATATGTCATATTTATAGATAATAAAGAGGTTAAAATTCCCTTAAGACGTGATTGTTTTTTTTTAATGGATTGAAGAACATACTTGGGAAGTTCTCATTATATATATATATATATATATAATGAAGAAGAGATTGCCATTTTTCCATACAGTTGGGAATCTTTTTCTGCTGCAGTGTTCACAAAGAGGATCAACGGCTTAAAGACAAAAATGATGGATTGCATCATTGTTGGCCTGCATGCCTCTGTACACACAAACACGTATAAAATAAATTGATCATATACATATACAGAGGAACAGGACATTAAATACGCTAACTCATAGTAGAAACTAGAAAAAGAAAATGGTGAGAATCTTGAGCTCAAGGCATGTCAGGGAATGGAAAAAAGGAAAGAAAATAAGTGAAGTACAAGTTTTAGAAACCGCCTTTTACGCATCACAAGAGCCGCCTCTCAGGCGGCCGTTGCTTCGGCCATCATTGCTCCATGGAACGGATCTTTTCGTCATTTGAAATCTCAAGGGGATGACACATTTTCCGCCACCTGATTCTTTTATCCTTCACACGCTGGAACGAAAGTGTGTATAAGCCGCCAAAGAGCAAGAACAACCAGGACATGACTGTGCCAAAAACCTCACTGCAGTGCTCAGATCTGTCTTCTATTCAGAAGCCTTCTCGTGGCTCTCTGAATGGCCAGGCCTTTTGCTCGTCTCGGTTGTTTCCTCTGTGGCTTCGATGATTTCCATGCTCGCTGTTCTGCTCCTCCTGCTCGTCCGGTCCTGCAAAGGAATATAAATACTAACATAACATTTTTTGAAGATTTTGATACCACTCTCATAACAGTTGTTATACATTTAGACCGGACAAGGATACATATATTCACCTCACGAAATGGACGTTCATCGGTTTCAAGCATCCGTACAACCTGGCTCATTTTCGGCCTTTTCTCTGCTTCGAGATCCACACATCTTAGTGCCGCTAGAAGAATACGTTTTAGAGCACGAGTACTGGGTTTGGTTTCAATTCTCGGATCAGTGACTTCTTCAGTTCTTCTTGCTCCGACCATCATCTTCAGCCATTCAACAAGATTCACCTGGCAGCGGGTAAATATTTAGCACCGGATCATGGTTACACAAAGCATGTACATATTAATTCATCATAATATTCTAAGATATATTAATTTTACCTCGTTAGCTGGACGTCCATGGTCAACTGGTTCCTTCCCAGTCACAGCTTCCAGAAGCAGGACACCAAAGCTATAAATGTCACTCTTCTCATTTAACATACCCGTATTAGCATATTCTGGTGCTACATAGCTGAAACACATTCAGAGGAACCTAAATAAGAATATCATACATAAGACCCGTAATATTATCATCGTGCAAAAGGGTACACATTTTTACACTTACCCAAACGTTCCCATGACTCTTGTCGTGACATGGCTCTCGCCAGAGCTCAGGAGCTTGGCCAACCCAAAGTCGGAGATTTTCGCATTGAAGTTATCATCAATCAAGATATTGCTTGCTTTTATGTCTCGATGGACTACTTTTGGTTCTATTGCTTCATGCAAATAAGCAAGGCTGCACATTACATCAATATCAACATCGCCTTAATCCCAAATTTAGCCGATCTAACTATCTATTCGAAATTATAGCTAAATTTCGTGCAAGAGCTGTATTTGCAACTAAATCTGGATGATAGATTCTATCCAAGCGAGCAACAGGTCAATAGTCAACATTTCAAACAACTTACGCTTGTGCAGTACCAAGAATGATCTTCATCCGGGCCTCCCAAGTGACAGTACCATGTTGGCGCATGGACCCATGTAGCCATTGTTCTAAGTTACCATTATTGACATACTCATAAACAAGCATCCTGCAAAAAGCCAATATATAGATTAAGCCCGTGGGACTAGTTTCTCTCGACACCCACTAGTTACAGCAGAAAACTCTCCTCCTGCCATAAGAGTGAAACTACAAGGACGAGTGAAGAAACTGTATTGGTAGCATGGTCAGCATATCACCTGTGAACTCCCTCTATGCAGTATCCTAAAAGCCTAACAAGATTTTTGTGCCGTACATGACCAATGGCCTCAACTTCAACCTGGAACTCCCTCTCAGCCTGTCCCCTAGAGAGATCCGATATGGGATAGAACTGTTAGGTGAGTTAAAGAAACAAGGCATAGGCTAATGTAACATTTGAGTTTACATAAGAAAACTTACATATTGTTCAGAAGCTTCTTCACAGCAACCTCAGTACCGTTGACAAGTCTACCCCTATAAACTACTCCATAACCACCCTCACCAAGCACATTCTCTGCAGCAAAACGGTTCGTGGCTAGCTCAAGATCCCTTAGGGTAAACCAATGTCCCCAACCAAGATGCGATATTTCTGGCAAACCAACCAAGGGTGATGCTGATACAAGACCTCCATATGATAACGATGATTGCTTCCAAAAAGTTCCAAAGCTTCCTTCTTCACCAGATTGAGAACTGCAAGCCCTCTCGTGATTATGAACGGAACTACATTGACTCAAATTATCATTATCACTAGACTTGGTTCTGCTCAAGTAGGACATCATTTTCTCCGAGTTTCCCTCACTGGACTTATCCTTTACTATGAGATGTAATCTTTCAGGATGAGAGTTCTGAATCTGAAACCCAACACTGTCAATCCTGATATCTTTCAAGACATGTGGTATCTGGTTGTCGGGAAACCTGTCAGCCGATCTTTTGGGTTTTCGTCGACAACGGAACATGATACATAGAGACAAGATGCAGAGAATCAAAACCAAGAATGCGCCAACCACCAAGCAAATCAATACCCACAACTTCAGACCCTTTAGACCCAAACATGATATCGTCTTGGTCATTTCAGCATTCAAAGAGATCTCGGGTGACATCTTTGATCTTGCATCTGACGGCAAAACCGTGCCACCTCACAACTTGGATCAAGCTCCTAGCACGATTCGCGCCTGAGTAGCAAGAAAATGTACCCAAGCCAACGCAGAAGCAGTAGATTAAAGAACAACCATACAATGATTCAAAAACACAAATCTTTCAAGCGAAGGAAGTGTTTTTAACAAATATTCGTTTCTAACTCAACCTGAAAAACGCGGGTTCTTAAGCAAATGGAAGAATCTAATGCTTTCAAGCAAAGTCGTAGGCACAGACGTTCGTACAACCAATTTGGCCAGAAATGCTGACACTAAGATACACATACAGAGGGGAAAAAACACAATTTCGGAGAGATTCAACAATTAGTTGCGGCATATCAACGAATGAGTAATAGGCATTAAGCTGGCTAGCGGTAGTTAAACATACCGGCGTGAAAAAAATTAGGAAAAATGAAAATCCCATCTCTGAAGACATGGAAAAGCATCACTTCCTATCCAAGCAAGAGACAACCCCAGAGAATCACAACAAAAAACTAAAAAAAAAAGGTGTCACCTTTTCATGACGAGAAAATGATTTACCTTAGCATGTGGCGAACCAAGCTTTGCCCTTTTGATCTATCTTGCTCTTGGAGCAGAAGCGAAGGAAAAAACAGGAAAAGGGCTCTCTTTTTTTGTTTCTGAAGCAAACCGAAGAAAAAAAAGAGGAGAAAGGCAGAACGCAATTGGCATGGAGATGCCAATGTATAGAATTGCAGATGAAGTCTCTTGCGAGTTTTACTTTGAGCCCACCACCAAAGCTTGAAACATCCAAGAGAGAGAGACAGAGAGAGACAGAGAGAGACAGAGAGAGAGAGAGAGATTTTATGGTAATGGTATTCGAACAAAGAAACAGAAGAACATCCGGTGAATCTAATCGACTAAAAAAGTCAAGTGGTCTGGGGTTTGACGTATTGTCTTCTGTTTAATTTATTTTCCAATCTTTAATAAAAAAATCTATCTATATATATATATATATTTAATTGTTATATCTAATTAGGTTTTTATTTAATAAATTTTAAGAAAGTTTTTTATGTAAAAATGTTTTTTTTGGGGGGTCTTGAATGATAATACAAAAATCTACATGCTTGCTATAATGTTGGTTATTACTTATTATCAATTCAAGAATATTTAAGAGCTTGCTGAAAATCATAACAGATTTTCCACTTTAATCTTGATTTCATGCAATTTAAAATAAAGGAATAATTTTCCAAATATGGAACGGGTAATCTCCGGTAGATATTATTCGTTTTATGGAGTCGGAGCTTTTATGTTGGAGAGTATCTTCCCAATATTGGAGATTATTTGGTATTTACAGTCAAATAACACGTCAAAGGTTTTATAATATTTGTAGTTTTAGGTTATTTTCTATATTTCAAAATATTTGTCATTCTACATTTTTAAGATATTTTTTACAATAATTTTTTATTTTATCCCTATTAAATTCTAATGAATTATTAATGATAACATTATTTTTATCATTAAATAAGGGTATTAAATAAGACTACCGTAACTTTTTCTATCTTTTTTAAAAAATGTGAAATAATCTAAAACAATAATTATTTTGAAACGGATCTAGTATTAAATATCAGATCCATAAAAAATTTCACGTGAAAGTCTAAATGACCATTAAAAAAAGCGATCTTTATTTTATAATCTATCGAATCAAGAATTAATACATCATCCTATTATTTATTATATAAGTCTTTACAAGTTACATTTGATAAACGTCTCCCGAATAAGCATAAATCCAAAAGAAAAAAGGATTCTAGGCTCTAGCTGCTGTAATTATGTATTCATTTTCATGCACACATACAATACCATATATATTTTTTTTGGTAAATCATACAATACCATATTTATGTGAGCATGTTATGGAAAATGACTTAAAGCGCCTTTCTTAGAGTTTATATATATATATATATATATATATATATGTGTGTGTATAACGGAGAGGTTAAAGCCTCTTTGATGGAGGCTTTTTTAATGAAAACCCTTGACGTAATTATTATGTTTAATAAGACAAAGGAGAGTTAACATTAAATTTCTAATCATAGTTTGGTTTAGTTATGATGAGGGTGAAAACTGAAAACACTGTAGTAATGTGTCAGGAAGACAGGCCTTGACTTTGACCATCACAGTGTTTTGGATTAGGAGTGGTCATTTCGGTTATTAACAGAACCAAACCGAACAGAATAAGATATAACCGTACATGAACTGAACCCGACATCAAAACCGAACGGTTATGATTTCTTTAAACCCGAAAAAATCGAAACCGAACCGAATAAAAAAATAACCGAAAAAACTCACGATTTTCTTTGAAAAAAATGAGTTTTTTACCGAAACCGAATCGAACCGAACCAAAAAATAACTGAACCGAACCGAACCGAAATTTATATAAAAACCGAATGGTTATAGTTTTTCTATAACCGAAATAACCGAATCTGAATATAACCGAACCAAAACCCGAAATGGCCACCCCTATTTTATATTTCTCTTTGCAATTTTGGCACGTGTGTCACGTGACTGACACCCAACTCAGTTTTCTTTCTCCAAAACACATGGAACTGGAACATAACCAAATCACATAAGGTAGAGAGGGCCCTTTTGATAATTCCAAGTCTCTAATCAGACAAAAGCTCACGGGACATTCAAAATGGAGAAACTCTACTTCATGGCCAAGGACATATATAATTTACTTACTTGTAAAATGAGGAAGATGCTTTGTCTTTCCGACCAGCGAGGATCATAGAGATCTGAAGGCCTCTGCTAAAGGCTTGGTTGAAGAGTAGACGCGTCTGAAACTCCGAAACAATGGGGAACCACGACAGCACTGCTATCGGTGCGAATATCACGAGCCCCATTATGTACTCGTACGC